AATGAAATAATTACACAACAGTGAGAATTGCAATCACACACATTACACTGATGACATACACTTACTGAGCACAAAGTTTCCAAAAACAGGACTGTGATGTGTTTTTTGGTGTAAAATGTTTGGTTTTGCAGATATTCCGCCAAGACCCAGAATTGAAATGTCAGGTGACCTGAAGGAGGGAAAGTCTCTCACTATGACCTGCTCAGCTCCCACCCCCTGTCCTCACTCCCCTCCCAAACTGACCTGGGGCCATAAAGAACAGCCTCACAACAACATACATGTAAATGCTGATGGAACCCTTACAACTGAAATCAAGAGAAACATCACCTTGTCAGACAAATATGATGGATGCAACATCACCTGTTCGGCCATATATCCTGTGAATGGAGGAAAACATGTTGAGACAACTCCAGTTAAAGTGACTCTCAACATTTCCTGTGAGTCGACCTATTTGTCCTTTTCGGAAAATCTGATGCTTCTATTCTCTATTATAACTGTGTTAAATCTTTACCAGATGCCCCCAAGGACACAATGGCATCCATTAGTTCGTCACTGTCGGCAGATGGATGGGTGAACCTGACCTGCACCAGCAGAGCCAATCCTCCTGTCAACCACTTCATCTGGTTCAAGGTGAACCCTGATGGAGCCACAAACGTTTCGGAAGGAGTCGTTTACAGAGTCAGTGCCACCGATGGAGGAGTTTATTTCTGTAAGGCGACTAATGCTCTTGGTTGCCAGAAGTCACCCAAACTTCATCTGAATGTTAAAGGTTTACAAATTTAAATCTCATCTACTGCTTTCTCCTTTTCTCCTTTTGTTTCTCTAACATTTTGTTTGGGAGCACTTGACATGTGATACAGTGCCATATTGTGAGGTTTATAAGAAGCAGGAAACAAATGAAGGCAAAGAAGGTTGGTGCGACAGATTCATAAATGACAAACCTTGTTGGCAGGTGGAACTCAGTAATCCAAAACCCAAAAACATCAAGAGCAAGGTCGAGAAACACAAAGGAAACAAGCTTGAGGTTATAATTATGCAAACTGAACAGATGAACCAACAAAGACAGGGAAGATGCAAGGGAAGGATGATGTCCGAATCCCAGAGAAAACAAACTGAGCTTGATCCAATGCCACAATTATTCTGTTTTTTATGTCTGAACCCAATCCGAGCAAAATGTCATTCATGTAGCTGCACAGACTTTGTGTCACCATCCCTCACACATATTTCCAGTAGCCTAACCCTAACCCTTTACATATGGTTATAAATACATCCATTGGTTTTTTTCTGCTCTTCATTCATGAGTGTGGACTTTCAGTTTGAGAGCAGGATTTATTGTTACGTTCAGATGTTCAGATGTTTAATGCTTACTCTCAAAACCCTGCGCTTGCAGTCAAACATACCCTGCTTGTGCTGAGATTTACTCTGCTTGTACCCACACTGTGCACTTGCACTTAGATATTTTGTTGCTTAGACAGATTTTCTATCATTTAGCTGCAGCTCTTCTCCTCATGCTGCTTCTGTGCACATGAAATGTCCACTCTCTGACCATTTCTTCTGTTTGAGTTTTATGGGTTAGGGCTAACCCAACTCTGTTAAAATTCCCCAACCTGCCAATGTTAGTCTTTACAAGTGAAATACTCCAGGTTCATGCACTAATGCCCTACAAGTATTTGTTATTGGACACAAAATTTAACAACAACATTTAAACAATGTGTAAAGTGAACACATGTGGAACACAACACAACAAGGTAGAAATCTCTAAGGACGAAACCTCCACACAGACAGGAATTAAAGCAAGAGAGTGACATACAGGAAACAGGGACACAGATTAAAACAGGAACTTTCAAACTCAAAGTGCAAACAATTTAAATATAAATCCAAAAAAAAAATAAAGAAAAAATAAGTAAATAACATTGGTAATGGAGCAGGTGGACCCAAAAGGCTGAACAAAAGGTTTTAACAAAAAGTGTCCTTTAAAGAGAAAGGTAGGGTATAATAACAAAATCCAAAAGCAACAGAAAACTCAAAATGCTCTTATGCAAAAACAGGAAACACTAGAAACTTACTGGAAACGACAAGTGGTGAAAAGACACAGGGACATGGAACAGCTCTCACAACAACGAACTGACAAAGACCCAGAGAAGCACAAAGACTTAAATACACACTGAACTAATGAGAAACTAGGGACAGGTGGCACAGGACAAACAGGTGAGCCTGACGAGGGCGGGAGGTCCAGGGGGAAAACACACAAGGAACAGAAACTACAAAATAAAACAGGAATGAGAGATGAACACAGAGGGACACAGCAAGGAACACAGGAGAGTGATACAGAAAGTCACACAGAGAGTGACACAGAGTGGGACACGGAAAGGAACAGAATGGGACACAGGGAGCAAAACTTAAAACACAGTTCCAAACATAACACAGTCCATAATAGAAATGAAAACTCTCTTTTATAAAAGAGGACCAAAAACACAGGAGACATGACAGATATCCTAATATACAAAAGTCCAACACAAAATTTAGAAAGTAAATTCAAAAACAAGCAAATTCAACATTCACAAGAATTATTCCCCAACTCAACTTGATAGCAGTAACTGAGGAGAAATTAATAACACGGTCCACATTGAACCACATCTTCTTTCAGGAGTATCAACCTCCTCTTGTTCTTCCAACAGAACATTTACGATGGGAGCCAGTTCTTGGAGGAATTGCTGGGATCGTCTGTCTCATCTGCTTAATTATCTGTGTTTGGTGAGTTTCTCTTATCAAAACGTGTCATGACTCGGTTCCTGACGCTGACATTTAAACTAAACATCCATCCGTCTTCGCATTTTATACTTAACCAAATACTCACTATGACTCGTAAAATCCTCTTGTTTTCCAGGTATTTAAGGTCAACACATCCAACAATACAACAGACTCAGGTGGGAAATTTATAATAAGACAGTCGTCAGATTTCCATGGATATTAACTAGATTTGGCATACAACAGTTATCAGTGACACATGAACTAAGTTAGGGTTAAACAAGAGCTGTGACTGTGGATGACAAATGTGTTCCTCCATTCCTGAGCAACAAGGGCCTTAACCTCACGGGTGGAACCTTACGAAGCCAAACTACCCTATGATTCGTTGTGCTTCTGTGACAAACTGGCTGTGGCCTGTGATGAGACAAAATGTCCAATGTTTACACTTTCAAATGTTAGTATCAGGCATCAACTTCACTGAAACAGCTAATACTACACTTGTTAAAAAGAATTACAAGGGACACTGAAACTCTGTCCAACTGCAGCTCTGTTGCTCGGGGACAACATTAGGAGGGGGATCACAGATATCCTTTGTAAACAAGACCTTTGCATTTCGGTTTGTTCTATTTGAACCATGATCATAAATCAAGATACATCTCATTCTCTGTAACATGTAAACAGGAATATGAATGAAATATTCTATTAGCATCTCACGTAAATGTCATAATTATATTAGCCTGATTATTGGTGTCCACTGAAATGTTGTCAGTTACTATAATACCTTTTTTTAATATATATATTTTGGGGCTTTTGTGCCTTTAATGACAGTATAGTGAAGTAGAGACAGGAAGCAGGGAGCAGAGAGAGGGGCCCACTGCAGCGAGGACTGTAGCCTCTACACATATATAATACCTTTATCAGTGTCTGTGCCGACACATAAGCTGATTTAACCACCGAGAAATTTGTCAGGTAATATGTATGTTAACATCACGTTTCCTGTTTGATTTATTTTTGTTACAGAGTCAAACAGGAGAAGAGCTGGTCATCCAAAACTCAGGCACAAAAACAGAGGAAGAAATCATCCATTACAGTGAGATTAATTTCTCCAAGCAGCGAGCTGGGCTGTCCTCAGACTCACTGTGGGACGGGGGGCAGCAGCAGGACACGATATATGCACAGGTCAAAGTGTCCAAGACAGGAAACAGTTCCACACAAGCCCCTGATAACCAATGAGAAGTGAAGAAAAAATTAGTCATGTTTGGTTTGTGTGTCAGATCGAACTACTACTACGTTTTTTATATTCATTCAAATAAAAGTCCCAAAGGCTTCAATAGTTAGTCTACACACATCAAATATAGGATAATATTTCAAGTTAAATGTGTTATTTTTTAAATATAGGGGTCAGGGGTAAAAAATTATCCCGTTAGAGTACAAACTGTGTGTCCTATATTTTATATATTCTTCTGTAAAACTGGAGACTTAAAGAAATCCAAAGTGTAGGACACTCACATGGAGGAAGCAGGATTCATTTTTCCTGTATTAGCTGTAAATGTTCATTTTGCATTGGAAAGTGAAAAACTCAATAAAAACATTTAATAACAGGTTTTATATTTTAATATGTATTAACACATAATTTAACTGTTCTTTCACAAGAAAAATTAAATATATGTTTCAGGGCTAGGGGTTAGGGTTAAAGTATAAAATTTAAATTTCAGCATCTTATTAAATCTGTCATCAGTCTGAGAGAAAAAATACAATTCTGACACAGTGACTTCAAACATCATAATTTAATTCTAGTTCAACTACAGCACAATCTAAACAACTTCACTGTTTCATGCAACATCTACAGTAAAATCAGACTGATTTCATCAGACGTCACTTGATCAAGAGCAGCTTCACACACACTCCAATAAATGTGACGCTTCAGGAAACCTCTGTCCAGCTTAATCATCTACTCCTTCTACCAAATAACAACCCACAGGAACACTTCACTCCATTATCACAAATCATATAAAGACTAAAGAAGGAACTCGACCGTAAAAAAATCATTTAAATTATTATCAGTTTGTCAAAAAACACGCACAGACCATTGGAATCCATTTCCAGAATGGTGTCATCAAAAAAATGAAGCAATAGAATAATTATAACAACATCCTGTACATGTCAGCTTGTATCTTATTATTAGTTTTTAAGCAGTAGAAAAAACAGCATTTTGGTATTCAGGTACTTTTCATCATAACAAATAAATGTTATTTTTTATCCTGTGAGATGCAGCAAAATACAAATATTTGATACGAGTCTACTGCAGGAGTGATCCCTGATGATCCTGTAGTCCTGATACAGAGCGCCCCCCACAGTATTAAGGCGTTATAGCACGTCGTCAACAAAGAGAATCAGAAAAATTGAATAGGAGCAGCAGTGATTGAGAAAAACCATGTCTGTCTGCTACAGAATGTTTGATGCACTGCAACTTTAAAACGTTAAATGGCCATGTGGATGTGTCCTGTTAAAAAATAGCATTAAAACATAACCACATCTGTGGATTTCAAAGAAGCAGAAAACCATAAAGTCAAGTCATAAGTAACTAAATAATGTTTAATTTTGAAAATAATCAGACTTCATGTGTTTTTAAACAAGGGCCTGACTTGAAGAAATTTAAATAGTAGTGGGCATTAGCCACACAATTACTACAGACAGTTTGTTGTGGTGGTGAAGCAGTGTGGGATTGGGAATTGTAGACTTGTGTTTGTTGTCGCGGTGAAGAAGTGAGGATAATGGGAGTTGTAGTCTTCAACCCAGTTAGGATTCCTTCATAGTTTAGGAGGTTTTGACACATGCACCCAAATGAAACGCACTGTTACCTTGATGAAAGTTTAAAATTACCTTTGAGATTTTAAAGTGGAACCGTTATATATATATTATAATTTTAAATGTTAAACTCTGATAAACACATTTGAGTTTGGTTTAAAAATAATGAACTACAGCAGCTGCTAAAATTGCATCAGTGAATTTAAAGTTTGCACATCCAGGACGTTGATATTTATCACAAATACAGTTTAAGAAGTTTCAAAGAAGCAAATTCAAACCAGATAAATATGGTGGTATTTAAATGTCAGACTTAAATATTCAATGGCTGGTTTTCCATAATCCTAACGTATGCACCATGTAAACAAGGTTGAAATTATTTTCTATTCTACCTTCAAAAATAAATCTAAACAAAAGCACTGCATCCCACAGGGTGATAACAAAGAGAATTAATTTTTCCAGGTAGAAAGTGGACGGTACAATCAGATAAATTAAGTTTCCTGTCACAGGATCCACAGTGATTCAGAGTTTGAGAGGACGCCAGCATCACGGCCAACACCAATCAAACTGTACGTCTCTGCTCTGACTGATGAAAAAACTTAAGAGTCAGACAAAAGAAATCAAACATGGAGGAACATTTCAAAATAAGGCCCCTGAAGAAAGTCAGAAATTATCTCTGAAAAAAAAAAAGGAAAAATGAGGCACCAAAAAGTTGAGATATCAAAAACACAGTCTGTCTTTGTGTTACGAAAAACTTTTTCACAAAAACACGAGCAGCTACATCATCCTGGAGGACGTTCCTGACGGGAAGTGACCGAGGTGCTGCTTCTGTCTCCGCCCACGTTTCGTCTTGTTACACCTCCTGCAGGATACAACAGGAAATAGACATCAACAAACATGCAGCCGCAATGCGAACATAGAGAGCTCAGTATATAGCAGCCATTGTGGTTGTTTCTGTCCATTACACAAAGCAACAGTGGACATGTGCGAAAGAAAACTGTGACATAATTTTCCAAATGCTACGTTTGACATGTTGACACAAGTGAGTTTTTAAAAGCTATATATTGTGGAAGGCGTTTGTAAAAATCTCTGTAATGGTGATGTAAAACGTGTGTGGACGAGAAATGGAAAAAGGTTTTTGGTTAAATATTGTTATGGAGTTTTCATAGACACTGTCTCGTGTCCTCTCTGGGGCAGAGTGCAACAGGTTGTTGTGTTTGGGAAGTGCGAGAGCTTGGCGAAGGTCAAAGCCTTCACTCCCTAGACATCACAGATATGAGACTGTGATCAGGAAACACTGTCTCCAGAACTAGAAACTACATTTGATTGTTTAGGAACGAGCAGACCCACAGATTAAATGATCTGTTGGGGTTTAAAGTGTGACTGCAGGAAAAAAGACTTCAGAATATGAGAGAGCGTCATGCTCAGATGTTGTGTGGATGAATTCTGATTTTGTCCCCGTCAAGCTTCAATAAATATTTCAGCATCAGACGTGAAAGGACTCCTGAACACTTTCTTCACTGATGAGTTGACCATTGATCAGCAGATTTTCCACAACAAATATCAACATTCATGTGGACAGGACGTTCATCAGCTGGCTCAGTTGTCATGGAGATGGCAGAGATGTTGTCACATGACTAAACTGAAGCTTTTTTCTGACCATCCACTGATCAAAGGGTTAAGTCAAAACTTTATTTAAAGGTTCACAGTATATGAGTAAGTGCAGTAATGCACCTCAACATTGGCTGCCACCTGCCAATAAACCAAACAAAGAAGAAGAAGTGGTATCTTGCAGCCAACAGAACATTATTATGCCTCCCTTTCCAAGAAAAAGGAGAATCTACGGTGGCCATTTGGAGACATAAAACCATGAAAGCTGCATTGTACTGTCAGTGTTTGATTTGTCCATTATGGGCTACCATAGGAAACGTGGCGGAGCAACAGTAAACCTGGTAAGTTGTCTGGTTCACAGGATGACTGTAACCTAGTAGTACACGTAAATGTTGTTACATGGTTTCTTGATAAAGTAAAGCTCCCTCTGCTGGCCCACTTCCTGTTTGTTTACAGCAGCAGGGATGAACAGTCGTGATGCGAGTGTGATCACCTGGTGAAGCACATGACCACAGCAACGATGACTGCAATCTGAACAGCCCCGATGATGGCGGCGATAAGGACGTAGTGTAGTTTCTGACCGCTGGGCACCACGTACAGGATGTTAAAGTCCAGCAGCTGATCACACTGAGGACCACCATATGCTGCCTCACACCTAACACCCAGACAAACACACACAGTTTGATTATATTTGAATTCTAAAGATTTAATGGAAAAAAAACATTTTCACAATAAAAGTCAAACACACATTTTGCGGTGGGTTAAGAATTAAGGTTAGAACGTGAAAGTGACTGTGAAGTACAGTGGTAGAGGGCGTTATTGCACCTTGACAATAAACCACACAAAGAAAAAGTGACTGTAAACAAAGATCCAAGACTGTAAATAAAGACGACGACACGTCTCCACTTCCTCCAGAAACTAAAATTTCTCAGATACAAACGCTGCCATCTTGTGATGATGACATCATGTACAGTCAGAGTCTCGACCAATCATGAGTCAGTCTCAGCTGTCAATCAAGACGGCTCTTTTATATCATCAAATAACTAATTCAAACTAAACTGATCAGAAACACTTTAACAAACATCAGTGTGACAAGAACGACCTGAAATGACAGCAACCATCTTGGCTGACAAACAGTTATTTAAGGTCTACTTTGAGTTTTTTTAATTTGGTTCATGTCCGTCTGCTAACATGGAGCAGGGGGGTTTACGACCAAACTACAGGCAGCCACCAAGAGGCAATACAGATAATTTGTCTTCACTTAAGAAGGGCCGTCATGTCGTCCATCTTTATTTACAGTCTTTGTCGGGAGTCCTCAATGAGATAGATAAACACACAGCGAACAGATTTACCTGCAGGTTGCCAGGTTGTGTCTCATCTCACATTGTCCGTGTTCGCAGAACTGAGCGTAGTCGTCAGAACACGGACTCACACTGTCCACAAACCCCTCCCCCTCACCAGGCTTGGACACACCTGGACCAAAAAAAAACACACTGTTTTCTGTTTGGCTGTTACAGAAACATAGTCGTTACATAATGAAAGGTTAACTGCAGAGGGGGCGGGTTCTTACTGTAGATGTCTGGTTTGGTCTTGACGCCGTCATCCTTCCTGTTTTTGTCTGAAACAGAAGAACACAATGTTTTTTTGTTTTTTTTTCTTCTCCTCTATTTGACCCCGATATCATCTACCTATGGTTTGGTTTGTATTTATAGATCTTTTCTAGTCTTGTTGACACTCAAAGCTCTATATGGTTCAGTTTGCCATTCACACAGACTTTAATACAGTTTCATACATCTATAAGCAGCACTTTTTTTCTATGATTCAATTCGGGGTTCAGCATCTTGCCCAAGAACACTTGTGTCATGTCTGATGAGGAAGACTGGGATTGACCTTCTGGTTGGAGGACCGCTCTAACCCTCAGCCACAGCCGCCCCTCTCTTCTTACTTTCCCTTACACACCTCATCTTCTAACAATTTTTCTAACCCTAACCCAAGAAGGGGCAAGTCACTACCAGAGAACGTTTCTTAACAAGTGTTAATGGACTTGTCACTCTGTGAATATTTTCCACTACAATTCGATGACTCTCTGGATGTAAGAGACACAGCTCAGCTTGTTGTATTTGTCAGAATGTCTTTCCAGGATTCTACAACAAAGGAGGACTTCCTCATTCTTTTGCACTTAAAGGAGAGAATGACAGGTGAGAATATTTACATTGAGTTTAAAAGCATGTTCATGAAAATGATATCCCCATTCATAAACTGGTGGCAATTACTACTGATGGGACCCTGGCAATGAGTGGTGCTCTCTCTGGTTTTACAGAACTGTGTCATAATGATTTGTGAATTATTACTGTGTAATTCATCAGCAGGCCTTGGCTAGGAAGGTCGTGGACCTTTCTCATGTTTTGACACTGGTTGTCAAACTGATAAACTGATCAGAATAACAGTGCTTCAGCACTGCTTGTTCAAGGCATTATTGAATGAGCTTGATGCCACCTACAGACACCTGCTTCTCCATGCTGATGTCCAGTGGTTGACTCACAGCAAAGTGCTGATATAATTTGTTGACTTGCTGCCTGAGATAAAGACATTTCTATCATCAAGGAACACGGAGCACAAGGATTGTCAGATGATGTGTGGCTACTGGACCTGGGGTCTCTTACAGACCTGGCGGCAAAACTGAAGGCACTCCGCAACAAGCTCCAGCAGCAACACCTGCCCTACATGCTAAGCAAGGTGAATGCGTTCAAGGCTTGGTGCTTAGACCACCATCTAAAGAAGAGGAGGATGACACATTTTCCCAACCTGGAGAAAATGTCACAGGCCATGAAGACAAGGAGGATTTTCACCTTGAGCAGTAATGTGCTCACCTAAATAAAGTGGCAACAGAGTTCAATCTGAGTTTTGCTGAATCCCATGTCATGGAAGATAGCAGCCATATTCCAGCAAGTGTTTGCTTTGCCAAGCTGAGTTAACATGGAGATGGTTGTTTTGCAAAATGGCATAAAGCTGAAAGCCAGCTCAAGGGAGAGTGACTTTTGGGGAGTTGTCAGCAGAGAAGTTTCCTCTCCTCGCTGCAGGTGCACAGTGAGTGCATACTTTGGATCCACGTACCTCTGTGAAATGCCATTTTCGCAGATGAAAATAATCAAATCAAAGTACAGGAGCCGGCTTACAGAATACTGGTGAGTGACAGGAATGCAACAGTTTTTCCTTTTTATGGCATTGTGAAAAGTGATGCTGCTTAAGATGGGACATAGAACTGCACTTAGCTTCATTGCAGTTTTACTTTCTATAATGCTAATGTTAAATGTACTAACTTGCATGACGCTTCAGTGGATAAACATTTACAGTTAACAATGGCACTTAATATGATCTGCTCACAGTATGTTTTCTTTTCTTTGTTGTCTGCTATGAACAAAATAATTTCCTTCTACAAATGGATAATAGACCATGGGCTTTTTTGTGTTAGAATGAAATTAAATCATAAAAATTCCTCAAACAAGACAGATATGGCCTGTTTGATATGATAGTTACACTGTTTTATTGGTTGCAAGTACATACTATTTTCTCTCCTCCTCCTACAAACCTCCCTGATGCCTTATCTTTTAATCTTCTTTTTTTCTTGTTACCTTGGCAACGTCCCACGTGTTTGATGTCGATCTTCAGCTGTTTGAGGCAGGACGCCTCTCGGACGTGGCAGGGCGTGTCATAGGTGACGCCATCGCTGCCACACACTGGGTTGTCGTTGTGGCCATTACACACTATGTTACACATGCAGCTGGACACACAAACACAAACACACTTGTTTGAGTAGCAGTGGCATGTTCTACTCATCATCAACTCCTCTGTGGAGTAGGCTTTTATTTGGAAAGGTACGATTAGACGATATGATTAAGTTTTCCATCTGTTGTTGTACGTTAACTTTTCACATCAAACAGAAAACACATAATACAAAGTGAATATATTTCAGAACAATTTCAACTTCAGTGAAAAATCATTGTAACATTATGTTGTGAAAACACTCAAGATTCTCGTCATCATTGAGGATCGAAATGGAGGACAAATCTGATGACACAATTTCTACTCTTTATAGAAACAGAATAAGAACATCAGGTCCATAAGCTGTGTTCTGCACATCTGTATCTGTGTCAATCAATCAAGCTGGAATGATCATTTTCTGCCTTATAATGTTCCTCCACGAACAGTCCGGAGACCAACATCTGTTGTTTTAACCTTTGACCAATAGAAATGTTCTTTCATTGTTTACGTTGGTATTTTTACTTTCTGTGATGTCATTTCCTGGAGAATCTTCAAACGTTTCATGTCACTAAAATCTATAGTACCACAGATAAAAGCTTCTGTAAATTGATGAACTATGTTAAATGATAAAGGAGTGAAACTGTCATAAATTAAACAATTTAAAACTAACTATTTAATTAACTACTTTTCTCTACTCCTCTTTACACGTTTGTAAAGACATCATCAGGAGCACAAGAAAATAACAAATATCTTTACACACACTAACACACTAACTGTGTGTGTGTGTGTGTGTGTGTGTGTGTGTGTGGGTGTGTGTGTGTGTACTAACAGTGTATCCTCAGAGTCTTCATCACATTCAGCTCCAAACTTGCAGATTCCACATTTCGAGGCCTTTTTACCGCGACCTGAGCCCTCGTCATCTGCAGACACAAAACGTCACAACAACATTCTACATCTCTTATAATAACAATGAGATCTGTTTTCAAAACATTGTAGTAACTGTATCAGAAAAACATTAAGGTGTTCACCTCCGTCTCCAGATCCTGAACCACCGTCTGACGGACAAAGAGGGAGTTATGTCAGTAGTTGACAAGAAATAGTCTCCGTGTTATTAATCATACATGTCCCAGGTTGAATCTTAAATGAATATTAAATCTCTATTTGTATTTTCTTAACATTAAGTGTCATAAATTCAGAGCTACTGGCTGATGTAAACCATCATTAGCCACGTCAGTTCCCTCCATAGCTTTAGTTTTAGCTACATGTACCTAATAATCTGAGTTTAAACCGTTTCTCTGTCAGTTGCAGCCGTGTGAGTGCTACCGTTACCATGGTAGCAGGGTCCCTCTGACACGATGGTAATGGGTCTCTGCTTCTTGCAGGCGGCTCTCCTCAGAAAACACTCATTTTGGTACGTGTCTCCATTGGACCCACACACAGGGACATACTTCTTATGACACTGCCACACACACAGTATTTAAATTACTGGATGAAACACAGCATATCATGTGTGACTTTAGCATGAAAGCAAAAGACAGAAAGAAGTGTGTGTGTATGAGACTCACATGGAACTGACAGACACATTTGATGTCAGCTCCGTTCTCACGGCAGGTTCCTCCGAAGCGACACGTCCCGGCGTCACACACACGCAGGTCGCTCTTCTTTTCGGACACATCTGAAAAATACCAGGAGATAGAAAAAAATAAAAACTCACTCCCCCTCAGAGTTAGAACTCCACAGAAGACTCTACACATATCTGCACAAGTTTATGTAGAATCTGGATGTTTTAAAATTTCCTTCCCTCAAGCTGTTTCTTGACCTGAACAGAGGTCTGAAGTTCTGTATGTGACACAAATGTCTGGGTCAGAAGCTCTGGACATTTTCTGGAACCTTTCCTTCAGCCTCTTAGTAAAACATCTGGATCTTACCTTATCAAACACTATTTTACAGAACTCATGTCTGACAACAGCATTCGAACAAGAGCAGGTTGAGAATGAAAGAGGAAACATTCACAGACACAAAATTAATGAATGAATGTTCATCCAACAGATGTGTGGATGTTTCAGTCTGAAGCAGTAAACATCATCATAACCCACAGAAAACACAACAATGAGTGTTTAACGCACAGAGAGAGAGAGAGAGAGAGAGAGAGAGAGACCATTATCCAGGGTAGTAATTAAATGATGGCAGCTTATTGGTCGAGCCCTGCAGGCTAACCAATTACAGCTGGTCATTACAAGGGTTGTGACCCCTGCCTCCCCCGTAATTAGTGAATACCACAGTGTGCTGAGGCAGCCACAACAACCTGCTGACACACACACACACACACACACACACACACACACACACACACACACACACACACACACAACAGGGTGGATCGAACAGAAACATTGTTCCCAGGATCCTCTCTGTCTGCACAATGTGACACCACATGTTTAAGGTGATTCCCCCTCCACAGTCAATCACAGACTGTAAACAAAAAGATGTACAACATCTCCCTAAAATGAAGCCAAAGCATCTTGATTGCCCCCTGGTGGCTGTCTTCAGTAAATCCCACTGCCAATCAACATGTATCAGCATGCTACAGTCACAGAAGTAAAGAGAACACAAGCTCTTGGCAGATTGACACACTGCTTCTAGTTCCAGCATGTGTGCGCTGTGGGCAGGTGCAGGGTAAATTGGGCCCTGAACTACAAACGGAGCGAACCCTGTGAACAGCTGACCTGCTCCAGGTTGAGTTGGAGATAAGAGATCAAACAGTATAAAGCTCGAGTCTCTGAGGAGGACCAGGGTCTTCAGAGACCCACAAGATCCTCTGAGATCCTCTGAGGAGTTTCTGAAAGATCTAGATTCTCCTCAGAGGATGAACCTTTGTCAGCTGCTAGAGCTTCAACAGAACCAACCTGACCCGTAGGAGTAAAGTACTCACAGTACCACAGACTGTCTACATGTACTTCACTTACTGATACTGATGTACTGGGTGTAGGGTTGGGGTTTTCAAACCTCATTGTGCATGTGTAGTATAGTATCAATATACAGTAGAAATAGAATCACAGTGTTGTACCTGTTGTATTGTAAAGATCAGTCAAAGATCATTTGAAAATCAGTATCCTTTTTTACAGTATATTTGTGTGTTTTATTTCCTCCAGCTGAGCTTGAAGCCACCAGGGTTTCACCTGAAAGACTAAAACTGTCCCACACAGTGAGAATACATGTAAATGATGTGATGGGGACACAGATTAGATTATTTTCAGATCTACTCTTGTAAACGACAGAACACTTTTACTATAAAAACAATCCAGGTGTTTTACCAGCTGTTCTTCCTGCGTTTAGCAGCTTGAACTGTTTCTTTTATTCTGAATGTTTGTTCTCCTCTGATTTTTATTTTACAACAGTTTGATCCTCGTGAAATATGAGGTCCTGCTGTCAGTCAAACTGTCCATGTCTGTGATTGGTCATATGCAGTAAACCCCGCTCCTTTGATGTGCACATACTCAGAGTTAACTTAACTAGTTGATAACCAGCGTCATGTGACCACTTGGCTTGACTGTGATTGTTAGGTTAAGTTAAACTGGATAAATGTAAGAAATCCTGAATATGTGGGTTAGGGTTAGAACACACCTCGTAGTACAGACCTCAGGTCTTTACGCTAAGCTAGGTTAACTCTGTCATCTCTCTGAATGAAGTTGATCTGAGATCAGTGGTGACGAGTGAATCAGATCAGCCTCCAACTATTCTCTAAAGTTTGGTGAAGCGGAGAGCTCTCTCTCTCTTAATATCACTCTACCTCTCTTGCTCTGCTGACCTCATTATCTCGCCTCTTGTTTTTCTCTCCGTCCTCATCGCTCCTTCTCTTCTCATCTGATTCTAACATCCAGAGCATCACAGACGCAGATGCAACACACAGCCAAAAGAATGTAGATAAACTGAATTAGCATTTAGTTTGAAGTTATGTTTCCACACATGTTGTATTGCAGCAAGGTGGTGTTGTGGTTAGCACTGCAGGTCAGAACTAAGATTACTTAGTAATCTTACTCACTAAGATTACTTAGTTCTGACCTTCTAATTCAGAGAAGAAAAAGGCTCAATGTAAACAATACAAATAAACAATAAAACTTAGACTAGATACTTAAATGAAACAGCAGATGATCTATACACACATCATGAAGTTGATACCTCATCTATCATCATATTGTAGGAATTATTTCATCATGATCTCACCATGGAGACTCAAAATTGCTTCATATGATGAAGAAAGATTTTTAGGAATGAGAAGGGGGAAATTCTGATAGTGACTATGTTCTCTTGTCTTCCCTCCTTTGAAAGAAAGGTCCAGAATCCTCTAGTTGAACAACATGGAGAAGATACGGTTCATCAAGCTGTGACTCTCCTCCACGTGTCAGTCATTGGTTCGTTTTGATGGAACCATGAGTACGATCAGGCTGTTCCCTCGTTTGACCTCGCCCTGTTCCTCCCCCCTGACTGACTACACACTAACCCTGTCATTAACCCCAAAATAGAGCCCTGGTAAAGTGAGGAGTGGTCACCACACACACACACATTCTTTCAAAAAGCAGGTGACATTATGGAGTTTATCTTCCTGTTGCCGTGGTGACTGCACTGAGATAAAACTGATGGATGTTTAATCCAGCTGCTGTTGTCAAGGCAACAGAGACTCAAAGACAACACCTGGATCAGTCAGAGAATAAATAAAGATGCTGGGACCTCTGACCTCCAGCTGATGGTCTCACCTGGACAGTCGGTGGCCTTCCCGGGGCCGCATTCCGCACTGCTGCTCAGTCCACTGCGGGGGAACGAGCTCCGGACGCCGGGGAGAACTAGAAGCAGCAGCAGGCTGATGAACCAGGAGGAGCAGAGAGCTGGTGCCATGATGGACGGAGGAGGGGTAGGTAGAGACTGAGAGGTGAGAGATTAATAGAGGTGAAGAGACAACTGATGAAAAAGATTTCTCCTTCGATGGATCCTGGTTCAGAAACCCCGCAGAAAAATAATAAAAAGTCTCAGATCCTGATTTTCTCCATGATTCTTCTCCGAAGCAGAAAGGCTGAAAATAGTACGAGGGCAGCCGGAGGAGGCTCCGCCACGAAGGGACAACAAAGCCCAGCAGGGCCTGGGTCTTCACACAGCGACCCCCACCGTCTGCTCACTGCCCGGACTCTGCCTCCATCCCCCGCTGCCTCACTCTCAAACCGACAGGCAGAACCAGCGGAGCGCCGCGCACAGATCCGGGTGAAGGTCCGGAGCCTCCAGCAGCATCCAGGCCGAAGAGGATGAGTCTGAGCCGGGGAGGATGGACGGATGCGCTCGGTCCTGGACTTTTTTTTGTCCTCGCGAGGTTTGATTCACATCAACAAAGGCCTGGACCACGTGACCTGCACGAGACCACTCCCACATACACACATATCCCTGCATGCACCGGGGCTCCTGCAGCCTGCAGCCCGGCCTCTGCTTCACACCGTCCCGGTACGTCCCGGCTCTGACCCGGTCCCGACCCAATGCACGTGTCGACCTGATGGTGGCGCTACAGGGTGATGACATGGTTCACATGGAGTTATGTTGTTGGGTTGATTTTCTGTGGCGACGACTTGAATCTCCAGGGGGCAGGATAACACTGTTCAAGTATCGAATACAAGGAAGTAGTAGTACTCCATTACATACAGTAACAGTACTTCATGTAATTACATTACCTCAGTAA